GACATTGGTTGCAATCCCTGCTGTGTCAGCCCTCTCCTCTTTCCCTTTCCACCCAGATTCCCCGTGTCCATTCATCCAGGTTTCCTGACCCTTCCTGCCTTCTCGTTTTTGCTTTTGGGCAGATGTTGCCCATTTGGTCTCGTATATTTGATTGAATTAAGAAGCACGTTCCTCACTTGTGTTACCATTTGTTTATAGGCCTGTCTAATCTTTGGCTGAAAGGTGGACTTCAGGAGTGGCTTCAGTTCTGAGTTAGCAGGGTGTCCGGGGGGCCATAGTCTCAGGAATTCCTCTAGTCTGTCAGATCAATAAGTCTGGTCTTTTTTGTGAATTTGAATTTTGTTCTATATTTTTCTCCTACTCTGACTGGAACCCTCTACTGTGATCCCTGTCAGAGCCATGGGTGGTGGCAGCTGGGGGCACCATCTAGTGCTTCTGGGCTCAGGCTGCTGGAGGCTGTGGTTCACGTGATCCATTAGTCCTTTGGACTGAGATTTGCTTTGTGTTTTTAGTTTTCTTCATTCTCCTTTGCTCCAAACGTGATAGGACTAATAGATGTATTTTATAGATGGCTGTTTGCAAGCTTTTAAGACCCCAGATGCCACTCACCAAAGTAGGACGTAGAATAGTTTCTTTATATACTGTTATGCCAATTGACCTAGACATCCCCCGAGACCATGGTCCCCAAGTCTCAGCCCCAGTAATTTGGTCTTACCTTTGTTCTTAATTGATTTGATTATATGTTTCTATAATTATATATTATGGTTGTGTTTAACAATCCGCTTGCAAAGTTCCTGAAAACTTAGCAATTGGCTCTTGTGAGCTGTTATGACCTGGATCTGGCACACCACAGGTTGGCAGCCATGTGCTCAGTGCCCACCACCATGCTTGCTCCAAGTGCAGGGCCGGTCCTCTAGAACCCACTGCCTGCCCTCAGCCAATCCTCTCCCAAACGACTTAACGTCATGAAGTCACAGGGTTTTGTTTTGCTTGTTGGGTAGGCGGCTGGGTTTTTGAGGAGGCCGGCTTTGCTCCCCAAAACACTGATAGGTGGTGTTATAGTGAGGGCGGGACAAGTTCCTGCACCTCTGGCAACTGATGGCTACACTGCTACCCAGTTCAGAATCAGCAGCCAAAGTTACTACAGACTGTACTTGTAACTCACCCCGTGTCTGGGACACTAACACCGCAAAGTAATGAGGGTTCTGACTCTGCAAATAATACTGGAGAGGAAGAGGTACCAGGACAAAAACGAAAGAACCATAGAAAGGCAACACACATGGATGCCTAAATCGGTCAACCTTGGACAAAGGGAAGTTTGGAAATCTTTACTTTACCTGAGAGAAACAGCATCTCATGCTGACCCTCAAAGAGCCAGCTAAAGCTGAGTCAGACGAAGCAGGAGTTGAGCATCACCAGAGACAAGCTGAAATACAAACTCATCTGGGGCACCATCGTATCTGATCATGCAGTATTTTCACAAGGGAGCAGTCTATGGAGAATTTCAGGATCTTTCCAAATTGCACGGGCAGAGTTGTTACTTATATGAGAGAATTAGCGGTGCCTGTCAGTCACTCCTAGAACTGACTACTCGGTCAGCTGGAGGGCTTAAGGCTGCAGGTTCCAGGTGGTCAGCACTCACGGCGGCACGTCTGACCTCTTGCCTCTCAGACACTGAAGGACAAATACACGATGAGAAGGCGCTCTCTGGAGCCTTGAGGTTCTGGGCTCTGAACTTTTAGTTGGGAAGCCTCTTTTCAAAGCAAAAACATACCAAACGACTTTTGGAAGTATTTTGAAGGATGAATTCCTAGGCCTTACATTTGTAACAAAGGAAGCCATGATGCTCATTTCAGGACAGTTGAAGCATAAACTTTGCCACTGACTGACTCTAGAAGATGAGATTGTAAATCCTGGATCCAAGCAGGTTCTTCACAACTACCAAGCAGCCAACAAAAGCAAAGACACAGCCAGCACACAATCTTAAGACTCTTTATTGAAAGGAACTAACTACCTCTGAGCCAAGCTACTGTGCAATCTAACAGGAAAATGTTATTGGAGATAGTTTGGACTGGCAGCCTTCAGTCTTGGGTGTAAACAAAGACATTTTTATCATTGTTTTTTAACCCAGCAGTCTGTACCGCAAACTTCATGTTAATTCAAAAAACTCCACTTCATGGAACATGAGGCTCTGCAGTGAACGAGAAGTGAGCACAACTCTGTTACATCAATAAAGAACCCACAGTGAGATGTCCCCAAGAAAGACAGCACATTGGGAATCTGCTTGTTAAGAGGACAATTTGTCCTCATATTACTCTTTTAAAGAACCGGGCAATAACTTTCCAAGCAACTGAATGCTGTTTTAACATCCTGGGTTGCTAAAACTGTCAGAAGAAATATAATATCTGGATCTAAGAGACTCTGCCACAGCGATCTGAATGAACATCAAACTACTATCTACTCTCAATGTTAAGATAGTTGTTTGAATGTTAAATATATTTGTACAGACTAGTGAAAAAAAATGTCTGGTGAACAGAGTTGGCCAAGGAGAAAGAGATCAACTGACAGGCAAGTTGTGGACGTTCTGTCATCTTAATGAAGATTCTTACTCCCTCACATTGTACAGGCCATCCAGGACAGACGTGCTATAGGCTACCACGAGAATGTATGAAACTCCCCAAGTCACACTCTCCCTCTCAAGGTGACCCTTAAGATACAGCCCTGCCCTACTGCTCTCTCCAAAAAAAGGTTTAAATATTTTCACAGTCTTTCCTTCATCTCTAAACTGACCACGGGAATTTTTGAGCATTCATCGGTTTCCCAAGAAGTACTGTTTCTTCCTTTTCTCTTATTTTTTTTTCAGTCAACAAATATTTACCCAACATCTACTCAGGCTCACTACTGGGTGCCGTGAACAGGAGAGGTAAGGCCCTCTCACGAAGCATACACTCCCACTAGGGGAGACAAACAAATCATTCCAGATAGAGACTAGTGCCGCAAGGAAAATTAACAGCATAACAGGATTCATGATGGGGCAGGACAGGGGAGGGGAAGAAAAGCCCGGCTTTAGACAGTCAAGTGCTGCAGGGGCACGTGCCAGCTCGCTGGAGAGCTCAGTGACAAGCAAAAGGTCGGGCAGAGGGAACAGATACAAAGGCCCTGGGTGGGGGGTAAAGCATCAGAAGAACTGAAGGAAGCTCTACATGGCCAAGATGCATGGAGGGCAGAGTGGGTGCAGATGAGGTAGGAGAGGTCGATGAGGGCTGGGGAACCTAGGGCACTGCATGTTATGGGAAAGGAGCTGAACTTTCAAAGTGAGAGGAGAACCCACCGGGAGTTTTAAGCAGGAACAAAGCCATCTCAATCATGGGGCTGACTTAATGAGAGCCAATGCACAGAGAACGACGGTCAGATATTCTCCAGAAAGGTGCCCCAGGGTCTGGACTAGTATATGAGGAACAACTTCGGGATATCTTGGGACCAAGTGTTAACGAACTAGCAAACCTTACCACGTCCTCCAGCCCAACCCCTGGTACTGAAATCCCCTGTATGATACCATGGACTCCCCACACCCACACTTGGACTGTTCCAGAGATGGGACTCATGCCCCTCTGGCAGCTACACTCACAAGTTCTTCTTTTTACTGAGCCAAATCTGGTTCCTTGTGGCATTTATCCATCTGCCTCCATATACCCTTCTGGGCTCTACCAACAGCTATTACACTCCAACAACTGCCTTCTCAGAGAAGTCAGCACCAGTTTCCTTCAGTTACTTATCTGACTTTTCTTTTCAACCTTTTATTAGGAAAAGCTCCATATATTCACAAAAGCAGAGAGAACAGTATAACATGACCACAACCAGCTTCAAAAGTGAGCAACTCATGACCAGCTTTGTATCTGCTGACATGGTTTCAATTTCCTTTGCTCACCTGGTCACACTGTGGGCTGCTGGCTCAGAGCCCTAGCAGCTCACTCATTGGAGACATCACGTGTCTACTAATATAGCCTAACAGTCCTATTACGTTGGTGGCGGCCAGACTGTGGCTTCATCTTGTGAATTTGACTGACACACACTCTCCCACCATAACTCGTGCAGTACAGTTTTGGGATCCAACTGCAGGAATTTATACTTGTTCCCAGTGATTTTCATCTTATCAGATTCAGCCCACTCCTCCAGGCTGTCATGATCGTTTTGAACCCTGACTCTCAAATATTCACCATCCCTCTCAGCTTCTGTGACACCTCTAAAGTTGTCAAACACAAAGAATGCCATCTCTACCCTCTCTGATGTTAAAAAGCAAAAGAACGGGAATAAGAATGAATTCGAAAAAATTTAGAGCTGGGAACCCGTTGCACTCAAGTCGATTCTGACTCAAGTGACCCTATAGGACAGAGCAGAACTGCCCCATAGCGTTTCCGAGGAGGGGCTGGTGAATTCAAACTGCAGACCTTTTGGTTAGCAGCCGAGCTCTTAACCACTACGCCACCAGGGCTCCTTAGATCTAGTTGGGAAGGACCTGTGAAAACATTTAGTCAAACCCCTTATTCTACAGATGAGAAAATCAAGGCCTGGAGAGACCCGTCTGGCTCAAGGCCGCCCACTAGGCAACAGCAGGCCAGGCTGGAGCCCAGACCCTATGCTCACTGCTTGTCCCGCCACAGCCGCCACCTACATCCGCACGAGCAGGTGCTCTACCAGAGAAGAGCCAGGTCACCACCAGGCTAGTGTCCGTGGACCACTGTAACCCATTTCCAGTCATCTACTGACAATTACCCACTCATTTGGCAAACAATTATCAGGTGCTGCTCTCTGCCAAGCTCCACTGCCCCCAATTACCTCTCACGTGTCTCCCACCCTTGGAGATTAGGTTGGAAATCATTGTTATTGGTTCTTATTTAGTCAACTCCTGCAGTACGGCATACAGGACTATGTAACTGAATTAGAAGTAGGAATGTCAAAAACGTTCGTAAGTAACAAAGGATTCACATATATTACAAATGAGAGATGTTATTCAAAAAGCCTCAAAATATTTCCTTTAGAGAAGATGCTTATCAAAATACACATCTTACAAATTCCGCCCTCAGGAAAGTTTTTTTACAATTGTTTCCACATGAGAAGCAAAGGATAAAATGGACCTATACACACAGCTCCACACCATCGACTGGATCGTACAAAAGAAGCATCCCAGCTTTCTCTGACATGTCTCTGTGGTTAACTGACCACACGCTGGAGGAGGTGTGGCAGTTCAGGTGTGCACAGCTCAAGAAGCCTCCCAACAAAGCAGCCATGGACTCGGGGACTTCTTCCCCTCAGAGACATAAGGAGAGGAACTGGCTGGGAGCTTTACCAGGAAGCACACAATCCAGCTTCTTATCCAGTCTGCTGCCATCATCAGCTATCAAACCATTTGCTCCGCTTTGCAAGAGGAGCTCCTTTAGAAGGTCCCAATAGTTTCTGCTTATACTGTTCGACCAGCTGGTTGAAGCGGATTTCTGTCTTATTTCCCTTAGCTTTTTTCTTAGGTGCCTACGAACGAAAGGAAACATAAGGCAATCAATCTCAAGCACTAAATATCACCTTACCTGTAAGGAGATACACAGATCTTGTCCACTGGGAAGAGGTGGACTTCCAGGGAGTGACGCTTAGACAAAGACTCAAGAGGAATCATCTGCTGGTGAGAAGTCAGACCAGAACGCACAGGAGAAGCCCCACTAAAACACTGTTGGGGTGTTCCAGAGGCCTCCCCACCACCTCCCAAACTGCTCACTTCAGCCTCATCAGCAGAGTGGTCAGCCCAGAGTTCGGACATTCTTGCTTGCCTTTTCCCTCACCGAGCACACTGCTCATGGGATTTCAGAGACAGAGCTTTGTAGTACAGCATGGTAGAGATCAGAAACTTCCTAGAGATAGACTCCGTGAATAGGATGGGAAGCTAATATTCTTTGACCTTTCAAAGACAGGGCCTAAGGAGGGGGAAAGAAAACTTGAACTTGAACGTCAAGAACATAGGACTACCATTGTCTACTGAAAGAACTAGGGCTACTTGGAAACATGGCTGATTCCAGGACTGGGGAAGAACTATATAAGATGAGCCACCCTAGCACATTTTGTGATACCAGAAAGCAAGGACACTTTCAAAAACAAATGGGGTCATGTCAGAAGGACTTGGGAGCCAGCCTAGGATGGGACAAGAATAATGACTGCATCTGACTGAAACCTGTCAAGTTTATAAAAACTCAGGAATTCACAGCATTAAAAAAATCTGACTGGTTCTCACAGGAGAAGGGTGCCGACTCATTACTCTGAAAACAGAAGGAGGGAAAGAATCAAGGTTTATCCTGCCTTTCCTATGCAAATGGTATTTCACAGTAACCAAAGACTTGACAAGGGAGAATTCTACTTTCTAGAATTTACTGAAAAATGAAAAAATGACAGAATTAGAAAATCATTATTCTGCAACCTATAATGCAATAAGGCATCTAGGTAACAATCGTCGATGGTAGCTAAGACTTATATGAAAGGCTGATGGGTAAATTTTAAATGGAGGATAAGGCAGACAACCCCTAAACCTACTGATCAATCTTAGCATCACTAGAAACGGGGCAACCAGACATCACGTGCCTCATGATGTGATGCAACAGGAAGCACCCAGCACCACCTATGAAATATTCCTGCCAAGAAAACTGAACTTGAATCTAATCAAGCAGTGTGATTAGACTCAGGCTGTAGGGTGTTACAGGGACAAGTTACGCGACACCACAAGGGAGCAAGCAGCCAATTGAAAACGTAACATTCTAAAGGGCAAATGATTTGGTTTCTCCAACAAATTAAAGCAGGGAAACGGGAGGGGGTGAGGGTGGATAGGACAGAATAAAACAAGATTTAGGCGAAATAACCAAATGTAATACGTGGATTTTGTTGGAATCCTGATTTGTACCAATCAACTATAAAAACAATTTTTGAGGCACTGGGGAAAACTGAATATAGACTATGTATTAGATGATATTAAGAATTTTAATTATTAATTTCTATAGATATGATAATGGCGTAACAGTTATTTTTAAGGCCTGATCAGTTAAGAGATGCATTCTGGGGTATTTACATGTGAAGCTGGGTTTATGTTAATCTACTTTGTTGGGGGGAAGCACGTATGGGAAGCAGGTAAAACAAGTTAATTGTCAAAGCACAGCAACAGATACTTGCGGGTTCATTTTGCTACTCTCTACTTCTACGACTGTGACCTTGGCATCCTCTAAAATTCTGCGGCACGGCACACAGCTGCAATCCAGAAGCCCTTTCTTGTTGCTCAACTAGCCAAGGTACAGAGGTGGCTGCCAGCCCCAGCAGAGCCTGGCCATACCCAAAGTCTGTGTCCCACAGAACTCACCTGCTTGGAAGATAATAGCTGTTTCTCTTGCTTCCTCTGGTTTATCTGGGGCTTTGGCTTACTGGGAGGGAGAGGCTTCGCTTTGCCTTTGTCCCGCAACCTGAAACAAGACAGTCAGTAAGTGCTCACTCTGAGGTTCTCTCGGCCCAGAAGGTGACATCTTTTGTTCCACTGGCTCCAAGTCCATGAGGAGGTAAGAGCCCTGAACAAAGACACTGCAACACGCTATCCTAAGGCTCAACCTTTGTGTCCTTGTTTTCTGGCTTAATGCCTCAAGGAAGTCTCAAAAACATTCATTTATTTAACAAATATTTTTTTAAAGCTCTACTTCTGTATATACCCCAAGTCTGATGCCCCAACAGAAACTGCAGGGAACCTCTAGCAGGAGGGACTCAGCTGACAGAGGGGCATCTGACAGGAAGAAGCGCTTCATGAGAGAAGGCCGAAAGCTACCTTAGCAGGCTCCTCAGAGGCCCCCCGCCGCTCCTGTCCCTTTTCCATTTGATCTGAGAGTGACAGCTGTGCTGGGGTAAGGGCATATGTGCATTAACCCTTCATGTGGGACCGGCACAGCACTAAGCATTGCTTTCCTCTGAACAAATGCCACAAAGAAAAGAGAGGCTAAGGAAAGCGACCCTACTCAGAGGCCCTCACCACGCCATGCTGCCCCGCCACAGCTCACCTGATCTTGGGGCCTCGGTGTGAGGGAAGCACCAGGACCTTCCTTCTCTTCTTTCCATCAGGCAGCTCTACCTGCTCCACTTCTGCCTTGGTCAGAAACCCCATCCATGAGGTTGAGCCTGTCTTCCCCTTCGGCTCCAGGGAGGCCTTGCTTTGCCCGTGTGTGTGGTTTTGAGCTGGCTTCTGTTGCTGGTCTTTTCCAGGCTTGGGCTGCTCCCCTTGGGGCTCTCTGTTTGCGGACTTGGATCTCACTTTTTGCTGCATAAAACAGGAGACTGCTGTCTGGTTTCTGCACGAGGGTCCTCTGATGGGAACTCTCAGCAAAAGAGGAGCTTCATGTGAGCTTGGTGAAAGAAGGGGAATTCCTCCCCCAAACAGGAAAGTGACTACAAGCAATTCACAAGCCCTGTCACAGCAACTGATGGTTACAGGGTAGGGAACACATGACAACCATCTCTCGCCACGTGAGGTAAGAAATACGGGGAAGTATAGCTCAAGACTCATAAGCCAGTAACTTCACAATCAGCAAACAATATGATGTCTAGTGTAATAAAGTCGCCTTGAACAATGACCACATCCAGGCTCTCCACCCCAGGGTCACGGTCATGGTACACACTGTGAAAGGTCTGCTATATATGCAAGTTAAGGTAGAATATCACAGAGAGTCATGAAGAGAAGAGCTATATGGTATCCAGAATAATCTAGCCCTTCATGTCCTGGAGGAAGATGGGTAAATAACAAGTATTCACTTCATGCTGACCACGTGACCACAAAGTATGTTAACGCACCTTACACGCGTTATCTCATTTAATCCTCACATGGATCATGTGGGGCAGAAGCTGCTAATCCCATTGACAAACCAGGAACTGAGATGCAGAAAGGTAACAACTTGCCAAGGACTGTGCAGCCAGAAAGGGGCAGAGCCTGAGTTTGAAAATGAGTGTACCTGTTCCTAAAGCACCTGCTCTTTCTTCTACACCACACTAGAGTAAAGCACTACTGAAGCTATCAGGCATCACACTTCTAGAGCCATCCAAGACGGACAGAGAATTACAGAATGGATAGCTGAAACTGACAGGTAACAGAAAGCCTTCATCTCAGCCATTAATCTTGGCGCACATCATCACCAAACACTGTACGAGAACCGCTGATGGGTAACACCATCGGTCTGATTCTCCTCGCTCCTTCCTGTGCCTTCTCCTGTGGAGCTGTCACAAGATGGGTCCACAGAGGGGAGGGTGGCTGGGAGAGTCCTAGGGAACTGAGAGTAATGGGCAACAAAGAACCTAATGAGAGAGAGCTACTCCAAGGGAGCAGAGCCACACACTGAACAAAACAGAAGGGTTAGATACGTTCTTTAAAAAACAAAACAACACTGAAGTTCTGTACCAGACTGCGCTGGATCCTTAGTTCCTTCATTTTCAGTTTCCTTCGATCTTCCAGAGAGAACTCCACTATTGGTCTCTGTCAGAGGGAGACAGAACGTCACTCATTAGACAGTGAGCAGAGCTGCCCCCACCACTGCCCCCTTTTACAAGCCAGTGGTTGCCAATCACTTCCTCTCCCTGAAGGAAGAGGCCAGTTCACCAGCAGTCTGTCCAGTCTAAAGTTCCCTCTGATCATCTTATCACCTGCAATCACCTGCTCCTTCCCTCCATCGACTTGCTACTGTCCTCTCCCATCACTCAGATGTCAAGAGGACACTGGACAAGAAGGAGGGCGGTTTTCTGCAAGTTGCCGTCAGGGGAACAGTTCTCCTCCCCCAGAAGGAAGCTCACCTTCTGAGGACCAAAGACGTCTGGATTGTTGTTGATATAGCGCAGGGCTGTCAGTGCGTGCTCGTGCGCCTGGAACTCTGCAAAGGCATAGCCCAGGGACTGGCCCTTCCCTTTCCCATGAGCACCTTTCAGGTCTCGCATCACCCTACACTATGAGGAGAAGAAAAGAATCCGTCATTACAGAATGAGAAGCCTGACCAGGCGTGAACTGCTTCAGTGGATTCGATAAGAAATCAGGTTACTGGAACAGGATATTAATCTATAACATCACCAGCGGAATTGTACTGGAATGACACTTAGTGAGTGTTCGTCTTATCAGAATACGCTGAGAGCACCATCATATTAAATAGATACTGTCTTGCTTTCAAAGAGTTTACATTCTAAAATAGACACCAACATAGACTTACAAATAAGCATGCAAGGAAAATAAACTTCCCAAGGGAAAATTGTTAACGGCTACCTTTTCACACACATACAAGCTGAGAGATATGTGGTGGTATCTTACACTGTATAACAATTTCTCTCTGAGGCTGGAGTACCGTCCATAGATCTTTCCACTGAAGACATACCCCAGAGAGGAAATTATTGAGGAAAAGGAAGAAGAGGCTTGATGGCTTTAGATAAGGACCACATTTCAGGCATGGGCTGCACAGCACACAGCCTCAGAAATGCAGGAAGGTGTTTCAGCCATCTTTGCTCGGAGCTCAGATTCTCTCTGGTGTGACATTTCCCCTAAGTCCTTCAGCCTGATGTAATGGGCATCCTGGGGCCCCAAGGCGTGGTGGGATATTTTGGGAAAACTGATCGTTTACAGGCTATTAGTCCTGGGAGCTGCTGTTCCCATATAATGGAGAGGCCCAAGTACGGGTGCCATGTGGATGTGGCATTCAGGGTCTGTGCAATCTGCTCCAGGTCTAGAACTGTGTCATGCGCTGAGCGGGGATCAAGAGCAGTAGAAAGGGACACTGCTGCCCTCAAGAGGCTAACTGTCCTGCTGAGACACTAAACTTATAACTACAGAAAATTCAATATAATGCAAATATTGCAGAATACACATAAATTTACCTAAATGACAAGCTTTTGATTTTAATGTGTAACCACTTAGTAAGTACTGTGGATGTTGATATAAGAGATTACACAACTGGTCCTTACGTCAGTAACACTCTCGGCCGTTCACTAAGAGCGTCAGATACGTGCTGTTACGTTCACATTCTCTCACGTAATTCCCCAAATACCAACACCAAGCATTCTGAAGAGGCTTCAGGGATTGGGAAAAGTTTATGGTGATGAGACAGGGCAAAGCTGACCCCTAGTACTGGCCCCGTAACTTTCTCAATGAATACTGATTGAGGGTTTAATGCCAAGGACTGGGGCACAGAGACAACGCTTGCCCTCAGAGAGCTCGGTGTTGGCTGGGAGGAACGACTGACAGACAGCGACAGACGGTGTAATACAAGTGGTAGGTGGAAGTATGCAGATGGTGCCGTGCAGCACACACAACGTCTAGCTAAGCCTTGGCGTGGGCCCAGCGCTTTCCTCATACAACTGCTGAAGACCTGTGCGGCCCCCTGTGCCGATCCCGGGGCCCCGATGAGCCTTTCTACAGAGTAAGAGCCCAACTGGTAGTAAAACACTCTTCAAAAGAGCAGAGCATACAGATTATTTTCTCTGCAAGAAAATTAACATTACAGCACCTAGTATAATGCAGAGCACACAGCGGGCATTCAATAAATGCTTGCTAAATTAATTCACGAAGGGCAGAGACTCTGTAGCATTCTACTGAATTTTGGTCAGATGTGAAAGGCAGTTCTTAAAAAGAAAAAAAAGGTGAAAACTGCCAAACTCGGCCTTGAACACTCACAGTGCGTCCAGAGGAGAACCAACTGTCAAGATCCTGGCACTACTGCTGGCACCACAGGCTGGAATGAACGCTCAATCCGACCCAGGACGGGCGCGTGAGATTCAGGTGGCAGGACTCACCTCCTTGATGCGCACCCCCTTCTCCCCTCTAGTGGCACTCAGCAGCAGCTTCCTGAGCTGCTTGTCATCCACGGCCTTTGGGAGATTGTGCAGGCACAGCCTCGTCTGGGAGACAAAGATATTCTGGTCCTTGAGTTTCTGATGCTTCAGGAGCTCAAACTGAAACAACAACAAATGGTTAACAGTACAATTCACTCTTGAAAAAGGTAGGCTCCTGATTCTCCAAAAAGGAAGACCCCACAACACCCGTCCAACACCACAGGAAAAGGAGGGACTCGCCCAGCATGCAGCCTGCAGCTCACAATGAATGCCCACAGGGAAATGTTCAAGCAGGCATGGTGGGGGTAGGCGGTGAGATCAGGGGCTCGACAGTCAGCCCAGCATCAGAAATCCAGCCCTAACTGCACAAGATGCACAAAAACTTCTATTTATTTTTTTTATTGAACTTCAGGTGAAGGCTTACAGACCAAACAGTTTCTCATGAAACAGAAGTACATGTGTTGTTTTATGACATTGGTTAACAACCCCACAACATATCAACCCTCTAACTTCTCAACCTTTTTATTTTTTGGTGAAAATACACCTAGCCAAAGATACACCATTTCAAAAATTTCTACATGCACAGTTCAGTGACATTGACTACACTCTTCCAATTGTGCTGTTATTCTCACTTAAGATGAAGGCTTACAGAACGAAATAGTTTCTCATTTAACAGTTACTACAAATGTTGCCCTATGAAAATAGTTAACAATCTCACAGCACATCAACAATATCCTTACTCAACCTTGGGTTCCCTATCACCAGCTTCCTTGTCCCCTTCTGCTTTCTGGCCCTTGTCACTGGACTCCTGTACCTCATTAGTCTCATATGGTTTTACGGGGCTGTCCACTCCCAGGCTGAACAGTGAACCTCGGAGGTAACTTCACCACTGAGCTAAAAGGGTGTCTGGGGGCGATACTCTCGGGGTTTCTCCAGTCTCCTTTAGGCCAGTAAATCTTGTCTTTTTTTTTGCACAAAAACTTTTAAGCCTCAATTTTTTCATCTACAAAATAGAACAGTTGATCCAAGTATAATTAATGCCAATGTCTCAGCACTGACATGAGACCTGAATGAGATAATATACATGAAATTCCTAGCTCAAAACCTAGCCCAGAGCAAGCAGTAAATAATACTGTAATTAACATCTATACCCAATCCCTTATTTACCTATCAACTCGAACCAATTATCTAGTCCTTCCAGAAGGAAACGGAATTTATTTAAAGACTATTTGAGAGAATATGGTCTCGTCTCCACTCTGCCATCTGGAGGCAAAGGAATGTCCATGACCGCAGAAATGCACTCTGCTCCCAGAGCAATGGTCTCCACTGTGCTGCCACAAGACCCCGGGCCCGAGCGACCTGCGTCAAGACGAAAGGCTTCCATTCTTCTACTGATTTGTTTTTAAAAATAAGGTTAATAGAAAAAGTCTTAATTTTTTTTCTTTTATCAAGTCTTCTTATTCCGGTTGCTTCTTGTTTGGTAAAGGTACTAACAAATGACAAAATAAACAACTCTTCTGGAAATGAATATTACAGAGAAATCTGAAGAGACCATCATGCTAAGTTCAACAGTCTGACATCCCCCCAGAGGAAAATCTGTGCCTGCTGTGAACTGGCAATGCATATGTACAATCTACTGAGCTTTTGCTAGCAAAATTGTTTCTGTGAGAAAATGAAATATGCCCCTGTGATCAAAACGGACAGGCAATGCCCCACAAGTACCATTTCTACACACTATCAAAAAAGCTGAGAATATGCATCTAGAACTTGTGCCGTGAAAAAGACACACGGTCTCTTGCTGTCAGTACAGTCTCACCTCTGTTCGGCTTCTTTTACACTTCAGGTTCCATAGCTAATTCTATGCACGGTTATGCATCTTTACCATTCTCGACTGGCTTAGCTTTTTGAAGGTAAGCTACTATTAAAAATAATTACTGGGAACTAACACTACTAAACAGCAAAGGAACTTAACAGAATCAGTTAACAGTAAAAACTCCAGCTTGATTCCATGAATTGAAAACTCCCATAAGGATTTTCCTAAAATGATCTATAATCCAGAAATACCAGCCCCCTCCCAAAAAAATTGACATTTCAGCTACCTTCCAAGGCCCAAATCTACTCCTTTCCCTAATAACTCCAGCCCACTGATCTTCCTATCTGATGTTGTTCTGCACGTATACCAACACCTGATTACACACAGTCCTCGTCTCTTAGTCTTTGCTGCATGATCTAGCAGCGTACTCTTCAGCAAACACTCCCCACTGAGCACTAGGAAAATAAAGAATAAGACCTTGTTCTTATATTGGCATCAATTGTATTGAGTCAATCAGAAATAGTTATCGAATATGGGGTGTGCAAAAAAAAAAACCAAACCCACTGACTCATAATAAAAACCTGTTGCCGTCGAGTCGATTCTGACACACAGCAACCCTACAGGACAGAGGAGAACTGCCCCATAGGGTTTCCAAGGAGTGGCTGGTGGATTCAAACTGCTGACCTTTTGGTTAGCAAGTTGGTTAGCAGTGGAACTCTTTAACCATTGCATGCAGAAACCGAAGGCTGGGGCCTAATCTACTCACCCGCTCTCTTTTGGCCATATCGGCAGCGCTCACGCCCTCTGCAGCCTTCGTCCCAGCACGAATCACTGCAAAAAGTGGGAAAAAGGCCAAGACATCACCAAAGGAATTTTCACTGAGCAACAAGAGGAATGTGATTTGAGTGATGCAAACTCTTTGCACAGGGCCCAGAGGACTATGTTGGCCAGGACACAGTGGCATCTGGGTAGGTCCAGAAATAGGTTACAGGGCTAAGTTCTGGGCTCAGAGCTGTTCTCAAGGACTACAACTCCGAACATTTTGTGATTTTGTTTCTGTTCTCCTCCCTTCAAAGAAGCTTCATGTACACGCCCAGAGTCAGATGGAAAGGTCTAGAGGAAGTTGGGAAAATAAGTACATTTTAGGCATCTGGAGAGTAAATGGCTTCACCCATAAGCTGCCAATGGAATGGGGCTGCTTGTCACACACCTGGGGGCCATTACTAAGCAGTTAGAGAAGCCAGCCTAGAAAACAACTAGACCCCCACGTATAGGCTGAGTACAAAGGCCAGTGCTGCTGTGCAGAGGTGGGCTGATAAATACTGTGTGACCTAGGAGACAGGTTTTTTTTTTTTTTTTTGGTACTTAAAGCTAATTTCTATCTTTCTGACATTAAGGGAAAGAGACTGGGTGCATATTTTAAACCTATGAATAATCCAAAGAGTAATTTTAGTCATAATTATCAACTCCTTCAGAAAACCCCTGATTAGAAATGATGACATACAAAGATAATTTGAGCTTGTCCTCCCTTTCTGCCCTGTCAATCTGCTAATGAAATGGTCAGAAGGTGAGCAGCAGACACGAGATCGGGACAGGTTAAGCCACAAACCAGGTAACGCTTTCCTAACAGAAAGCCACGTCTGCTAACATGGATTAATAACACAGCACTGTTGAAGAGCACATCTGGGTTTTGGGGCCAGCAGCTGAGAAACCTGGTTCACTTCGCCCTCCACTACTCACAGCCTTCTCTGGCCAGATAGAGATTCCGGGTTCCTGTTGGCTTCTTCACCTTCTTCGTCTGAAGCTTTGCAGCTTCATCACGGGTCACTGCCAAGTCAACTCTGAGCTGACGGCCATCCAGTTTAAGCCCACCACCCTGCAAAAGATTGCAAACCCCATCTGTTAAGATACGTAACAAGTAGAAATCAAGCATCTAACAAAGAACAGCAAGGACAACACAGCAAACCCCGATTTCGCTATGGAACCCAGCCCCCAGGATGTTTCAGCCTAGCTGGCCACAAGTGGGTCACTGGGCCTCACGACATGTAGGAGAGCTGTGCAAACGGCCACATGTACTTAATGTGGTGCAGTGTGACTGACTGCTGATTGATTACTTCTGTGTGGCCTTTCTAGCCATGGTCTTGTAACTCCCACCGAGGTAACTGGGTAATTGTGGCCCACCAAGGGGACTGGTCAGTTTTGCCTTAAGAGAGCCAATTCCTGAGCAGACAGGAGGACCTACCACCACCAAGAAAGGAGAGACCTGGCAGCAGGAGACCGTGTGGTGAGCTTCTCAGCCCATGAAGAGAGAAGGTTGAGTGCCTCTGGGCAGAGACTGAGGGCCAGAGAGAGGCATGCCTGTGAGCATAGCTGGGAAGAGGCTATCCTGACGGAAGAACTGCGTCTCGAGTGTTCCTGAGCCTAAATTGTAACTGTTACTTCCCTTACAATAAACCCCATAATTGTGAGTATGGTCTTTGAGTTCTGTGTGGACCTTGCAATGAACTACTGAACCCAGTAGAGAGTGCTGTGGGAGGGACAATTGGTATAAGAATTTGCAAAGATGGCAGAGAGGGGAGCCTTGCACTGTTGATCTTGGTTCTCCTTCCCCCATGTGGGTTTGGAGGAGGTCAGACACTGCCCCCAAGCCATTTTTACAGATGGTCAGCACTAAATAATTTATTTTATGGGAGTTGATTAGTGCCCAAATAGGCCCAAATTCTGGAAAATTATCTGTGAACAGGAAAGTTTTTAGTATTCTTCAAAAAGCTGATGAAAGCCAGAGTGTTAACTCTACTCAAGAGAGTTCAAGTGATAACAACAGTAAGGATAACATACTATCCCGAAACAATTTACATTTTCTTTTAGAGAATGTACTGAAAAATTCCCCATCACCCACACACTTTCTCTCTCAAACATTTACTTCACATGACAGATGGCCTTAACTCCTTTTTGTCCAGTCTTTCCCATCATCAGCCCAGAACAGATGCTGATACACAGATAATGATCAATAAACAGTAGATACTATTATTATACCGGTTTCCTCATCTATAAAATAGGGCAATAATTGTACCTACCTCACAGGGCTGATGTAAAGATGTAATGCAAGTAAAGCACTTAGCTCAGTGTCTAATACACACTAAGTATTCAGTAAGTGTTAACTTTATTATTATTACTATTATTACTGGCAATAATAATAATAATAAAGCTCTGTGTAAACATCAGATGTTGCCTCTAGGAGTCATCATCATCTAACTTGTAGGCTAAATGTCGTCCTTACCTCAGTCTCTGGAGATGCAGCTGCAAGGCATTTCTGAGCTGCTTCCTGAGTCAGGAACTGAGCAAATGCACATCCTGCAGAGAGAGACAAAAACAAGTGAGATCACAAACTCCCCTGACCCACCAGGAAGCCAAAGATAACAGTACAAATGGGCCACCTGACACAGAGGCAGGCTCCTTCTATTCAGACCTATGCGACAGGCACTACGTTAGGCCCTGAAGGGTTAAAGACAAGATACCGCACCTGTTCTCAGTGAAATCTTACTACTTCCTTAATCTTTTCCAATGCTTAGGACTTCAGTCTCATTATCTGTTATGGATGAAACTGTGTCCACCCACCCCCAAAATAGAAAAACCAAACCAAACCCGCGGCCATCAAGTCGATTCCAACTCACAGCAACCCTATAGGACAGAGTAGAACTGCCCCATAGGGTTTCCAAGGAGCACCTAGTGGATTCAAACTGCCGACCTCTTGGTTAGCAGCTATAGCATTTACTCACTGCACCACCAGGGTCCGCCCCGCCCCGTCCCCCTGCCCCAATATGCATTGTAAATCCCACTATACCTATGGTTAGAATCCCACTTGGGAATGGGCTTTGTTATGTTAATGAAGCAGTATTAGGATAGGGTTGTCTTAAGTCATTCTCTCTCGAGATACAAAAGAGCAGATTAAGCAAAGCAGAGATGGGGAGGATCACGCTAAGACACATGAAGACTGCAAAGGACGAAGCTGAATGAGACAAGGACCTTCCTCCAGAACCAACAGAGAGAAAGCCTTCCCCTAGAGCCGGCGCCTTGAATATGGACTTACAGCCTCCTAAACTGTGTGAAAATAAATTCCTGTTTGTTCAAGCCACCCAGTTGTAGTAGCACTAGATAACTATGACAACTTGGTTTTGGAGCCCTGGTGATGCAGCGGTTAAGAGCTCAGCTGTTAACCAAAAGGTCGGCAGTTCAAATCCACCAGCTGCTCCTTGGAAACCCTTGGGGCAGTTCTACTCTGTTCTATAGGGTCACTATGAGTCGGAATTCACTCAACAACAAGGGTCTTAGATAACTAAGACAGTATCTATCTCTCTCCTTAATAAAAGATATCCAAAGGAAATGGGGGCAAAATTACAGCCCCAAACTTAATGCAGTATCATTTACTGAGTGCCTACTGGGGACTAAAATTGAGGCAGGAACCACTTAACCCTGAAATTAATTACAGACCTCACTGTCACTACAGTCACTGGGGAGGCATCACAGAAGGACAGCTCTGCCTCTCGGGGTGAAGTCCCTGGCCTCTCTCACATGAACAAAGCAGGGACCAGAAAGCCAGGAGCTCAGAGCTTGGCTCGTGTTCTGCAATCGCCACAAGGCTCACCTCTCGGCTGGTAAGATGCAAGGCCAATCAGCCCACCCTAACTGCTATTGAGATAAAGCAGCTATTTTAAGCAAAAAAATAAAAAATAAAAAAATCTGAAGTTCATCTTACAATGAACTCTAAAGTAAGAAATACAAGTTTCATAAGTTGTCAGTATCTCTTTAAACTTTAAATATTCTCTCATATACAAAAACAATGCCATTATTTCCTAGAACTACTTGGGTATCACTCCTCTGCTCCCTGAGAAAGAACAGTGCAGACTAACTGAAAGGACACACGTGGCACGCCACCCCGAGGGTCACCCCTTGTGCGACCTTCCCTCCTTCTCAGGCAGGCCTGCCCAAGTGCTCCCACATCAGTGTTCCCTCGTCCTCTGCTCACAGCTCCATCATGGCACCAGTCAGGAGGCACCTTCCTAAACAGACTGCACGCCTCAGCAACGAGGTCCTTACTTCTTGGCTATTTCTGTATCCCTAGCACCTACCACAGTGCCTGGCATTAACTCAATAGGGAGAAAGCAATAATGAAGAAATATGGGGGAAAAATGTTTCTAACAGGCCAACTAGACTATTTATCTAATGCGAAGATGGGTAAGAATTTTATCACTGGAATTTCCAGGATCAGTACTGGGTTCAGTCTTAGCATTTCTCTAAAAGCCTGCAGGTGACATTTAGCTCTTCCAGGCAGTGAAATGGCACCACGACAGGAATGAACTGCAGGAGGAGCCCAAGGCTGTGTAAGTGGGCAGAGAAAGTGTCAGAAAAAATTCATGTGAGCTAGGGAAAGACAATGCCTTAAGAAAAAACAATTAAAACTATGCTTATTAAGATCATTAACTCTCAGCTAACATTAAGAGACCAAGAAAGAGATCTAGCAAGTCAATTGTAGACTACATTGTGAGAAGATCAACCCAACATGCCACAGCACTCAAAAAGGGACAAAAGACGTTGGGTATCATCAAAGTAAAGCACAGACTACCAGTACTTGGAGATTCTATGCAATTCAAGTTGCCTGTTTTTAGAAAAACATAATGAAAATAAAGAAGGTCCAAAAAGCATAACTGAATATTAGAGCTAAAGGCACCTTAGCAATTACTCTAGATGAATCACTCATTTTACAGATAGGAAACGGGAGCCCACAGTGGTCAAACGATGTGCATAAACCCCAGCTGGTCTGTGGTATGGCTGGATTAGATCCTAGTCTCCAGGAAGCAGTTCCGTGCTGTTTCCATCATATGGCCTTATTTACGTCCTGGTTGGCCGAGGTAAAAACCAACACGACCAGGTCTCAACAAATGGCAAATAAGTAGCTTTAGAATGGAGGTTCTTAACCCATGGAAAGACTCCAGAGACCCCACAAACCCTCCAAAGTGGCATTTAGCTAGAGGCTTCATAGCTTTTGCTGGATTTCAAAGGAATCGAGAATCATAAAAATTAAGGACTCAGTGCTTTAGGAGAACAACAACTGCAGGTGATGAAACCAAAGGCTATGAATGGGCTGAAAGATGCTACACTAGACTGAGGAGTGGTCAACCCCTGAAGCTCAAGACAGCCCTGGGAGACGGGGAATCCAAGGAAGCACTCCTGCTACCTAGTTTTCCTTCTGACTACTGCCACTGCAACCAAGTTTCTGTCAGTTTCCATCTCTCACAAAACAACTGAGAAAGAGCCCAGTAACTTCAAGCAATGGGGAAAGATTAATACCCATAAGATGCTATCACATTTGAAATTCAAAGGAGAACAGCAGATGGAATTCATTACCCTAAATAAGCAACGGCTTACAAAGCTTAGACAAAATTAGGGCTGGCAGCACCACTACAGATCTGAGTTTGGCAAGATAACCTCAGAATGTCATTTGTGCTTCTATGGAACACAGAGACCTAGGCTAGATAGACCGTGGGCCCCTCGGAAAAGCATGACACATGCTCATGTAACCCCTTCAATGCCCACTGCAGTGACTCCTACCCTTTTAGGGCCTGGCCAGTTGACAGTCAATACCTTTAGAGTGCTCTGTGTCTGGATGCAAGACAATGCGAACATATCTGAGATCCCCAAATTGCTGGAGCAGCTCTCCCAGGTCTTCTTCCTCTGAGTCAAAGGACAGGTTTCTATGGAAGACAACCACAAGGTCACAGAAAGGTCAATTTAAAAAGTGAGATCCTGTGTTCTGGTACAAGTTAAGTGAGTTAGACATCAACTGAGGTGGCTCCCTTGCTCAAAACCACCCTCTGTTGCTCAGGAATAGCACCAATACATAGGGGTGGCTCCCAGTGGCCGGGCCTCTGCTACATGACTGCCTGGTGGCCACAAGTGACTGGCCTTCCTTTGCAAATCAGAGTCTCTCTCCTAGGAATCTGAAACTTAGACATATATAGAGACCAGAAGTCATGGACATAGACTCACTTCAAAATAGCAGCACCCCACCTGAAACAAACTTCTGGGGTGCTGGAAATGATGTTCTCTATCTTGATCTGGGTGGGGGTTACGTGGGTATATACATATGAAAAATTTCACTCAGCTGTGCACTTAGATTAATGCACTTTACGGAACATACATTATACCTTTAAGAAAAATTACAAAGGCAGTGCCCTCCCCCCAGAAAGAAGACCCACAGCCTCCTATGCTGGGGTCCCAGAACTGCCCAGCCTCTCCTCCCCTTCTTGAAGATTGTTTTTTGACAATTCCTTTGATTCTGTGAGCCACCCAGTGTTCGTCTAACAAACCCTCTTTTTCATTTAAATGGCCAAAATTAGTTTCTTCTACTACAACCAAAAGATGCACAGCAGGTCAGTGAGAAAAGTAAAACATGTCTGCCCGTCCGTCTCTCTTTCTCTCAAGATTAGCCATTTTCTCCTTTGTGTTGCTCTGAAATCCACAGCTCAGTTAAAATTTTACAAAAGTCAGAAAATACTTCAAAATAAAAAACTCAAAGGCAAACATGGTAAAGTTTACTAGCTAAGTACAAAAAATAAAACTATGTATTTCTCTCAATGGGATTAAGAAATGTTGGAAGGAGATTTTGTTCTTTTAAATTTCAACACAATGTCAAAATTCCTCATTTCTCCAGCTGTGCACATCCTTCCAGGAGGAAGAAAAACAGTCCCTAATATGTATCTATAATTTTACTTCCCTTTTACTCAATTAACAACTCAATAAATCATTCTACCTCACAGAGTAACCCAGATAAAAAAGGTTTTCTGAAATAAGATACTTCCTAGCTACATTAATGCTTCTAATTTGCCTCCTAATGTACACAGTCCTCTCTTTCCCATCCCTTTATTTCCGTGTGTTCTTTCTTAGTATAAAGATGTATGAGGAATGGTATCCTTGGTACTAAGGTCACAGGCTTCTAAGTATGACGTTTCTTCCTTCCTATTAGACAGAATTCTCTATCAATACAAAATAATTTATATGGCAGTTCCAAACAACACAGAAGAAGATTAAGGAAAGACACGCTGTTGAGAGAACAGGCTATAACACAGCATGGAGAGTCTAAACTCATCCCTGTATGCTGTGGGCCTGTGTGGGGGTGTTCTCTGAGAAGTGATTAAGGGTAATTTTTTTTTTTTTTATTTACTTATTTTGGTTTTTTTGCTCATTTATTTTCTAAATTTTCTATAATGAACCAAAAATACTTGCATGATAAAAACAATCTTAATTTTACCTTTAAAAGAGTGTAAAACACAAACCTCTAAAATAAGACCCACATGGCCCTCTAGCGCACTGATCCTAAAGAAAAGGAAGAGCAGGTATGCTTGGAGTGCACTGACAATCTCCTCACTTGATGAAAATACCAATCTCTGGCAGTCAGTAGGACTAATACGGAGAAACCCATTGCCATTCTGACTTATAGCGACCGGACAGGACATAGTAGAACTGCCCCATAGGGTTTCCAAGAAGCAGCTGGTGGATCAAACCGCCGACTTTTTGGTTAGGAACCGTAGTTCTTAACTACTGCACCACCAGGGCTCCAACACAGCAAGAAAACAAAAAAAAAAAACCAAACCTGTTGCCATCCAGTCAATTCCGACTCATAGCAACCCTACAGGACAGAGTAGAACTGCCCCATAGAGTTTCTAAAGAGCACCTGGCGGACTCGAACTGCTGACATTTTAGTTAGCAGCCAAACTCTTAACCACTACACCACCAGGGTTTCAACAGAGCAAGAGGAAGCATGAAATTAAACCTGTCTCTACCCCACTCCCGCCGCCAGTTTTCCTGGAAACAGGAAAACTTACCTCACTCTGCACCCTGCTTTAGAAGATAAGCAAAGGTAAGTTAGGCATGAAAAGAAAAATTGTCTGGGACAAGCGGCATCACTCCTCCTCAGCATTCTCCTAAAACTAAGGGCAGAAGTAAGATGTTTCTAACATTTGAAGGATCAATTTGTCCCAAATGATGTGACCCAATTCCAAAGAATGAAATCTAAATGAGAACAAGGTATTCAGACCACTGCTAACTCTCTCCTGTGCTATAGTTTTGAATTTCCTACATTTCTCATTGTTTGGAATGTTCCTGGGATCAGATGTGCTAATGGTCTTAAACCCCATCCCACTGCCGTCAAGTCGATTCCGACTCATAGCAACCCTATAGTCTTAGAGGCATCTAATTTTCTGGCATAGGTCACGAAACTAGCGTTAAAAAAAAAAAAGGAGAAGAAACCTATGTAGGCAACATAAACAGCAGTTCTCTTGGAGCAGAAAAACATACCTGATGAAGACAGTTTTCCCTTCATTCACATCAGATGGTAATTTTCTCTTCTTTTTCTTTGAGATTTGTGCATCTGAAGTAAAAAGAAAAACAACAAACTGAAAAAAATAAAACAGTGCAAGCCAAAAGGCTAACTTCTCAAGTCTCTAAAGATCTTGCCTAAATCAATAAGAAAAAAAAAATTTTTAATGGACAAAGGATATACAACTAAATATACGAGAAGAGGCTCAAACTCACTCATAATTAAAGAAAAGCACAGCGCAAGAAATGAGGCATTCTTTTTCACTAATAGACTGGCAAAAACTAAAAAAAGACTGATGAGATCCAATGTGGCAAAGGTGTGGGAAAACGACGTTCCCATATAGTGCTGCAACAGTGTAAACTTTCTGGAAATATAAAACATATAGACTCTTTAAGGAGAAAAAAGTACACATACGTTCATTCAAAATATATCGTATACAAGTGCATATGTATTCATGTGTACGTGTTTGCCAATCTATATAAAGATACACAAGAAACTGGTAACACTGGTTGTGTCTGGGGAGGGGAGCTGAGGGTGTGAAGATCTGGAGGTAAGGGAGACTTACCTCTGTTTAAGAAGACACATATATGCTTATATATACACAGAAAATTTCTAGAAGGACACTCAAGAAATAAGTTACCTCGGGAGGCTGTTGGGCAACTGGTGAGGAACCTTTACTTTCTATATTGTACACTTCCACACTGTATTTTAATCCTATAATTTTTTGAATGAAAGAATGGTTAAGAGACAACTGAATCTGGGTTGCAGAACTCAGAGTCTCAAAGTCCTTCAGTGTAGAAGCGTCTTCAACTCTGAGGTGTGTATCATTCCCTCCTCACAGTGTTGAGTTTATTTCCTCAGATTTCTTATACGCCAGTCTTACAAAACTGGAAGCAGCAATCAAGCTGACAGTTGAGTAAAAATTTCTGCCCAAACTAAAAGGCCAGTTGTTGGCCTTTCCTTGTTCTGTAATGACCTGCTTTTCTCGATAAATGAGTTGCGTTTACCCCTAACATTCTCGATAAAGTAGCAATAGGAATTGGTTACAGTTCTACAAAATGCCCCAAGAGGTCGTTTATCCCCAATCTCAACTCAAAAAAATTGTTTAAAATCCACCTTGCTGTTAAGATGCAATATTCTGTTAATCCAGTTATTCATTCAACTTGGATAATCAAGAGAGAGAGGTAGGGTGGCTTTGCATTTAACTAGGTTTCAAATTCCCTAAGAAAGGCTCTTAACCCTCAAACACCACTCCAAACTCATTTTAAAAACAGAACAAACAAAAAATCTTTAGAAAAAAGGAATTTAACAGTTTCATTTTCAGGATTTAAACCTAAGTTTGATAGAACACCCTCAGGTCCTATTTTAAAAGAGGTTTGTGATGAACTGATGCTCATTTCTCATAACATAGTTAAAGAAATTACAAAGACCGCAGGCAAACCTTCATCCTCCCGCTCTTCAGTGTCCATGTCACTCTGAGCCAGTTCCTCTCCATCATCAATACCATCTCTTTGTTCCAGGTCACTGTCCTCATTGGAATGATCCTCTTCACTGCTCTCTGCAGCTGCTACTCTCTTGACAGCTCTGGAATGGCACAGTTCACAACTAAGGACCTGGGCTGACAGAGGGGCCCATTCAACTTCATTACACGCGCCACTTTGCACTGAGGGCAGCAGGGAAAAGACGTCATCATTTGCCCTCGCAGAGACAATCCTGGATCCCCCCCGGCCCCGTTGTTTTAGAACAGACTGAGCTGCTTACCTCTTTTGAATCTGCACAGGCTTGGTCATCTTTGATTCTCCTTCATCTTCCTCCTCATCTTCTTCATCTTCCTCAGCATCATCTTCTTCATCATCATCATCATCATCATCTTCTTTCTCCTGGCCGTTCTCTTTACCTGATCCCTGCTGTTTGGGCTCAGGGTTCTTCCCCTCACCTACGGAGGGAGGTAAAAAAAGTTACGAATTCTCTTAGCATCCAAAACAAGGCTATTTTAACAAGAGAAACTAATACAAGTTCCTACTTCCTTTGGTTTTACAGAATCTCATATGTTTCTTTTACTATATATAACAGGCGTAATTATGAGGGAAAAAAGCAAAAAACAACAACAAAACCTCTCATTACTCAGATCCCTTTGAGGTCTGTCCCATTCATCGGAAGTCTGAAGGTTAATCGGGCTCAGAACGAGAGAAGCAGCAACTGAGCCTCCACCATCGGCTACGGCTTGTACACTGGTGCCAGCACGATGCCCACCCTGGAGCCCAGCCATGATCTTTAATCTCAGTGAGGTGTTCTCTGAGATCCTGGTGACTTAAAAGCCAACTGGATTCTAAATGGAACTCAAGTTTTAAGTTTCCTTATTCATAATGTTCCATCACTCCCTATTATGAAAAGCTAGGAAAGGACAGGAAGTTGAGGGGCAATGAACTCAGCCACACTCCTCATCACATCTACACTCAGGAGTGGGCTTATACTCAAAAGAGCCTACATTCTGGGACTGGAGACCAGAGTTCCCTATGAACTGACAAACAGCTCTAGGCTCATTTCCGAGCCAACAGAAATTCAGAGTTCCTCTTACTCCCGAGTCTCATTCTTTTGGTTAATCTTGTGCTTTTGACATCTCTAGCCCAATATCCTCACTCTGACAAACAAGTCCCCTTATACCTTTATCACAGACACAAGAGTTGTGTCCACCTATTCCACACTCTCGCCCCAGGACACAACCCCTCCTACCCACACCACATCTTACCTGAGACAGAGGCAGACTGAGTATCTTTATACTTATCCTTCGCCACGGCCCAATCCACAGCCACTGTCCGCCCTGTAAGACAGAAAAGTGGCCTCAGAAAGGCTCTCCTCATTTCGATATCCCTGTTCTCCCACAAATGACTTCCTATTCACCAAATACAGTAATGGAACCAGTGGAGACAAAGAAAGTGGCGACTCAGGGAATGTCGGTCATTAAATAAAGTTCCCAGTAGCTGTTTATCCTTTCAACCCTTAACCTCTTCATCAATGAACAGAAATGTCACCTTTCTACACAGCCATAACAACTGGGACAGAAGGAATGAAAAATAAAGAATTAGAACAGTGCTTGTAGTTAGATTAGCCAAGTTTTCAGTTACACTAGCAAGAAGCAAAACAGACATTCCGGAACAATCTGCACCCTACTCAGACGTTAGGAAGTCTCTGAGCCAATCCCTTAATTAGACACCGTAAATCAATACCTAGAGTAGCCTCACAGTCAATTTAATAGCCCGTGGATACTGAACAGTGAGCGTAACCAAGAAGGAGGAACCTGCAATCCCACATCCTCTAAACACCCACCTGCATCATCAGTGACTACTTCAGGAACAGTTTTCATCAGCGATTTAAAAGAACACTCATCACCACAGAAAGGAAAGAGGATACCAGGACGGCTTCCTTCCAGTCTAACCCTAAGATGAAGCACCAGGACTATTTCACCACCACAACTATAATTTTAGCAGTGAGGCTCAACAGTGTAAACATTTACCTTGTGAAAATGTACAAAGTGGGTTACTGTGCCAATTCACCCAAACACCAGGAATATCTGGGTCAGTGATATGGGTATAGAAAGCTTACCTTTTATCTCTTTCATGTTCATGCCTTTGAGAGCTTTTCCTGCTTCTAGGAGGTTCTTGAACTGAACAAAAGCAAAGCCACGCATCTTTCCATCTGTGTGCAGACGTACGTACGAAGAAGTTAGAGTCAGCAGGTGGGGAGCCAGCAGAACACTAATACTTAGAAGGAAATTACAGCCACTCAGGCTGGCAAGATGGCCCAAGTCCTGCCAACCAGCCAGCCCTTCCCCAAAGCAATAGGTGAGGACCTCCTGCTGAGTATGCCCTGACTCAGGTCTGGGGAGAGGAATGTATTTCCTCAAACTACAACTAGTCTTCTAAGACTACTTCTGACCTAACTAAAACTACCATTGGGGAATAAGCACGATTATTTGAGCTTTTATTACTGCGCCAGATGCTTTGTATTTATCACATCATCTCAGACTCACAAGGAGAGTGACATGGGCCTTGTATTTCTACTTCAAATGGTGCTTAGCTCAAGGGCAATATAATACTAAATAATCCTAATCTCATCATGTAATATCTCTAGCCCAGTATCCTCACTCTGACAAGGAAATTCCCTTAAATTTGTATTTCTATTTCACATGGTGCTTCAGTTCAAGGGTAATATGGAAAAAGACATGTTAAATAGCCTTAATCTAACCAGACCAAATGAAGGTTTGCTAGTACCTGGTTTCCTAGGAATGTTTACTTCTAGGACAGCTCCAAATTGAGCAAATACTGTCCTCAAGTCATCTTCTGAACACTGAAGCCAAAAGTGAAGAAAGGGAAAGAGAGATGTAATCACAGCCAACAAACATGAAACATCAACTACCAAGTTAGCACACGAGGAAGGGCCCGGATATTTTTACTCCTTTTTTACTTTTGACAGTAGGACACCAAACATTTCTGGATAGAGGACATCTTACTTTGTATGTAAGAGACAAAAAGGACAGAAGTCAGAGAGCTTTCTCTTCCCTCCCTTTCTCCAAAATCACGCCCCCCAAAAGGAATGCATCTTTACACTCAGTGTCCTTAATTAAGTCTTGTTTATACAGGTCCATTCTCTGAACTCAGCAGGGCTAAGGTTCATGCCCAGAAGGCATCAAGCCCAAGTATGCCATCCTGGTGAGGCGTGCCACCAATAAGCATGCTATGGCTCCAACAGCCTTCAGAACAGCCACTGTTAGTTTTCTTCCGCCACTTACCTTAAAGCTCAGGTTCCGAATAATTAATCTGGCTTTCTTATCTGCCATTTTGGCTTTTTTTGGCTTCAGCACCTTCTTCGGGGACTCCAAATTTTCTAAAAAAAAAATGATAAGAGACAATGGAATAAGTCTACATTCCAAAACCACCCACCAGAGCATCACAGGCAAAAAACTACTAGCCACAGATGGCATTTACTACAGGGTTCAGTGTGGCGACACCCAGGAGCACCAGATTTTCCAGACTTCAGAAGTAAACAAAGGACTAAAGTGAGTAACAAAATATACCGGATGACTTGGGACATCCAAAAGAAATTCAGGAAGCTTTAAGTTCTCGGAGTGACCCCTACGCCACTCTCTTCCATTATCATAGTGCTCCACCTCACCCTGGGGGAAAACCTCTTCAGTTACTAGAAACTCACCATTTTTCCCCTTTTCCTTGGACTTGTGCTTCAGTTTTCTCTTGGCAACAGTCACGTTGATCTTGCAACCTTCGAAGGTGGTAATCTCCTTGAGGGCCCTCTGAACATCTTCCAGCATCGAAAAAGTGACATAGCCAAAGCCTCGGCATGCCTTACTTCCTGAACAGTGTGGGAAGAGAGGAGGGCGGGGAGAAGGAGAGATCGTAGTAAACTAAGAGCCCCAAAGCAGTAAATTCAGAGGGAGTGGCAGATTCAATTCCCAGCCAACGCATCTCAAGCGCAGCCACCACCTGCCAGTCAGTGGAGCTTGCATGTTGCTATGATGCTGAACCAGTTTCAGCAGCACTTCGGGAATAAGACAGATCAGGAAAAAGGGCCTGGTGATCCAGCTTTCAAAAAATCAGACAATGACAAGCCTGTGGATCACAACTGTCCAACTCAATGGCAGCTAACAACACCAAACTAGCAGATACACTGCAGGCCATCCTGTTAACGGTTTGCCAGAATTCTCACGAGGGAAAGAAGCAAGGTGAACCTCGGAGGCCCCTTCCCTACTTTGCTCAGAAACTGCTGGCTTCCTCTCTCTTCTAATCTGGTGTCTCCACTGTTAACTCTTGTTGCCCCTTTCCTGATAATGTCAAGAGCATGGAGGATCCGTAACATACATCAGGCCCCCAAAAAAGAATTCAACGTCAAGGCAAACAAGTAGGAAAGATAACTATAGTAGCTTCAAAATTAGAATATAATCAAGCAGCTGCCCCTCAGAACAGATCAGCAATGAACACCTGAGGCCCTGACCAAAGAACCACAAACAATAAACACTGCTTCAGGAGCCTGCCGATGCAGTGACCATACTACGGACAGGTATCAACATTAAATTAAACCTTTCTAAAACCAAACAAACAAACAAACAAAAAAACCCAAACCTGCTGCCATCCAGTTGATTCCAACTCATAGCAACCCTACAGGGCAGAGAAGAACTGCCCCATAAGGTTTCCTAGGCTGTAATCTTTATAGAAGCAGACTGCCACGTCTTTCTCCTGCACAGCAGCTGGTGGATTTGAACTACCATCCTTTTGGTTAGCAGCCGAGTGCTTAACTACTACTGTGCCACAAGGGCTCCTCTGCTCTTTCCCAGGACCCCACAAATCAAATGGCTGCAGAGAAGAAAGTAGGAACAAGCTATGAACAGTTACAAACACCAACTATAATCCACCTTTGCTCTTTTCTGGTATGCTTTTTAAGTTTAACATTTTTGCGTAGTAAAATTTTAAGTAATTTATTTATCAAAAAGGAAAAGGACAGACTGTATAGTCTGCCTACTACCTGAAGAAGAAACAGCTCACATGCTCTGCTGCTTTTTCAACTAGCCTCGAATCGGCTTCAGGTGCAAGCCATTTCACATAGGCCCCTGATCCATGTAAGCAGATTAAAGCTGACCCTGGCACCAGGAAAGCATCCTGGTATCTGGAGATCGGTTTCTTTTCTCTCAAAAGCCTGCCTACTCATCTTTCAGAAAACAAGAACAATAAAAATCGAGGACCTTCCTGAGCAGTACAACCAAAAAATTAGCAGCTGAAATGCCAAGGAGTTCAGCGTCTAAATAAAAGCACATACTCACTATTAGTACCATGCATTTTGCGTCTGCACAAAGCACCTTCGCATGCATTATTTGAATCCTCACAACCTGGGAAATGATCTCCATCTTCAAGAGATGCTAAACGACATGCCCAAGTCACTGCTACTGAGTAAGAACTCACCCCACACCCCTCCCTCCCAGCCCACTAAATACAGCACTCTTTCCAATACATCTCGAATGTCTGGATAGGAAAGTGGATAGTGTGTTAAAAAGGGGAATAAGGGATTTTGTTAAGGATTTAGACCAAGTACACAAGGTATAAGGTTACGTGCAGCCTAGATTCTGAGGACCCAAAGCAGAATTCCCACTCAATGACTGGTCCTTCCCTGGAACACAACCACCTGGTACTATATAGCAGTGTTTCTCAAACTGATTTGACCAAAGCCCACAATAAGGAATGTAATTTACATTAAATCTCAGTACACACATATATTCTCTATACAAAATGGAAATAAAATTTTGCCATTACTAGTCTTTTACCATACATGGATATACTCCTGTTCTATCCTAGCTCATTAAAAAAGAATTCTAGTCATGGCCCACGTATGACCCACTAATGGGTAATGATCGGCAGTTTAAGAAGCATTGCTGTAAAGCATTCCTGCTCTCTCTTTCACATGTATCCACTTAAAATGACAAAAAAAAAAAAAAAAAAAAACCAGGCAGGTGCCATGGCTTATATAGTAATCAGAGCCATGCTGACAGTCCTAACTATAACTTCTGTTATAACAAAATAGAAGCTAAAGAGAGAGTAATTATTAGCATGCTGTTAGCCTCCCAGAGCCCTGGTGGTGCAGTGGTTAAAGTGTTCAGCTGCTACCCGAAAGGTTGGTGGTGAGAACCCACCAGTGGCTCCAGGGAGAAAAATGAGGCAGTCTGCTTCTGTAAAGATTTACAGCCTTGGAAACCCTATGGGGCAGTTCTACCTTGTCCTATAGGGTGACTATGAGTTGGAATTGATTCGATAGCAGTGGGTATTTTTTAGGGGTGAGGGTTAGCCTGCCTATTCACATACGCAGATACCATGGGGGCTAGGGGGAGTCTAAGAGATGCCAATTCCCACGAGTTGTTGTGCTGAGAGGCAAAGAGGCAGCCCGGTGACTTGGAAGGGAGCCATGCATGTGGTCTGAGTACATCAGGTCCCCATCTTGGGTGCCCCCTGAGAGTCTAGGGAAGAGGAAGGAATGCTTCTACAATTAAACCCCCCTCTCCTCTAACAGATGTCAACCCTGCCTCATACTGATGTGATGAGAATCATACGGAATATGAAGCACACAGGAGTATTCCACATGTCAGTAAATCTCTCTGATGGCTCACGACAAAAACCATGGAGTCAGACCTGACTCCTCTTTTTCCCTCATACCCCACATCTGATCCATCAGCAAATCCTCTCAGCTCTACCTTCAAAAAATATCCGTATTCCAACCACTTTTTACCACCTCCATTGCTATCATCCTGGTCCAAGCTACCATGATCTCTCACTTGGATTACTGCAAAAGCCTACTAACGGTCTCCCTGCTTCTGTCCTATTCTCCAACAGCCTATTCTTAACACAGCAGCTAGAGAGAATCTTCCAAAATGTAAGTCAGATCATACCACTCTCTGCTCAAAACCCTCCAGTAGCTTCCCAACTCAGAGCCAACGTCCTTGCAATGGCCTATAAGGTCTATTCTCATCTCCTAATTCTCCTCCCTTCACTCGCTCCACTCCAATCATCCTGGCCTCCCTGCCATTCCTCCAACACACCAGGCATACTCCTGCTTCAGTATCCTTCAACTTGCTGGTTCCTCTGCCTGGATTGCTGAGAGCCACATGCTCACTCTGTCACTTCAGTCAGGCCTTCCCTAGCCAATCCTATCTACACTGCCACTCCTCACCCTCTCCAACCCCCTCAAACACACACAAGTGCACAGACTCTCTATCCTTCTTCCCTGATCTTTTTCCTTAGCGATTATCACCATTATCACTATCTATTTTGTTTATTGGCTGCTTTGCCCACCTTGAAAACATAAGAGTAATGATTTTTGGCTTGGTTTTGTTTGCTTGTATATCCCCAGGACCTAGAACGGCGCCCGGCACATAGTAGGTACTCAACTGAGGAATAAATGCAGAAATGCATATAACATACTGGTTAAATACTCCATGTCTGGAGATCAAATTCTAGGTCCACTACTTACGAGCTGTAAGAACCTGAACTAAAGTTACTAAACTTCTCTAAGCCCCAGTTTCCTTGTCTGTAAAATGGGATTAAGAATCCCCACCTAACAAGATTCTTGAGAAAATTAAATGAGATATAACCCATGTAAAACTCAGCACTGTGCCTGGCAATCAGCTGACTCTCAATAAGCCTTGCCCGCGCTTTATTGGAAGTTAGCTATTATCATTATTACCAAGTTGCTACAGGTGAAGGGGCACAACAAACAGAAAGCGCTTTAGAAACGCAAGGGAATGCTCCGACTTGCATAAACACATCTACGGACACATCTAAAGAATTTCGAAAAAGAAACTCAATTCCTAGTCCCCTCTCTTAGGGCCAGGTAAAGAATTTTATGGTTTCCTGAAGTTTAGGAGGATGTCATCGTCCCCATCCCGCTTCCGGGCTACCCCAGCCCTATCCTCCACCGCCTCCCCGCCGTCCCCTACCTTTCTCAGTCACCACGAAGCACTGCTTCACTGGCCCCACCTGACTGAACAGCTCCTCCAGCTGCTCACTGCGGGCCGAGGGCGGGAGGCGGCCTACAAACAGGGTCAGCCCCGCCATGAGACTGGGAAACCCGAGGTGCGTGAGACCGCAAGCGAACGGGCCCGCGCACGCGAGTCAAAGAACAGGAGGGCCACGCCAAATTGCCGGCAGACACCGGAAGTGCACGCGCTCGTTGCTCAAAAGGGTCCGGAGGAAAGCGTAGTGGGATGTGGAAGAAACGTTCCGGAATAAAAAAGATAAAGCCGCTCTGGCGGTGGAGCCCCTTGGTTAGTCCCTGCATAGCCCCCGTCTCGGTGCGGAAATTTGACATCGCTAGTTCGTAAACTTAACCTGCAAGAGACGAACCAGTTCACCAGGATGGGCAGGGAAAGTAGTTTATTAACAGGCGATTAATAAAAATTTCCCGAAGTGTCTCCACAGATTCCCAGATTAAACCAAAACGCATTCCCATGTGTTACAAAGGGAATGCTTCATAGGGTTTTCTTGGCTGTAATCTTTTACAGAAGCAGATCTCAAGGCCTTTCTTCCGCCACTGGGTGGGTTCTAATCACCAACCCTTAATTTAGTAGTCCGTTGCAAACCATTTGCACCTCCCAGGGACCTCAATGTCTGCTTTTTCCTGAAGCAGATCACCAGGCCTTTCTTCCAAGGTGCCTCTGGATGGACTCGAACCTCCAACCTTTCAATTAGCAGCTGAGTGCATTAACCATTTGCACCACCTAGGAACTCTGATTCCCAGATTTAAAAAAAAAACCAAACCTGTTGCCGTTGAGTCGATTCAGACTCACAGCAATTCCCAGATTATGGGCACAAAAAGCAGCCAGAACATACAGACATAGACACAAGTATACCACATACATCATTCAGACAAGTCTCCTATTTTCAGAGAATATGAGACATCTGTCATAGTCAGCCTATAAAAGTTCACGGGAAAAATTACAGACACTAAAGTACACATAGACATAGATCAGACATAATCATCCTTTCGGTAAATATTTACCCTTGCTATGTGCCAGGCACTGAGGGAGAAAACTGGTGAGCTAAAACTGGTCCCTGTTATCACGGTGAATACAGTCTCGTGAGGGAGACAGGTATTAACCAAAAGGATCTTACAAATAAATCACAGCATGCACACTAGGATTTCACATCTGACACACCCAAAGCAAACATAACATCTAGCTTACACACATAGATAGACCTAGAACCCACATTCTTTGGGGAACAAGGGAAGAGCTTCCCTCAGGTGAGCTTATCAGACACACGCAAGACTAAGGGGTCCCCCTGGCTGGGATCTGGGTGTTCATGGTTTGCCACTGCATCAGGCTCAGGAACTGATCTGCATGGGAGACTGCTGAACCCCGTAGAATGTGTAGCTGCTAATAAAAGTACCCAACGCATTTCTAAAATAATTACTTTTAAATGGTAATTGCCTGAGCACATAAAACCCAAAACCAAACCCATTGGCCACTGAGTCGATTCTGACTCGTAGCGACCCATTCGGACAGAGTAGAACTGACCCATAGGGTTTCCAAGGAGCAGCTGGTGGATTTAAACTGCTGATCTTTCAGTTAGCAGCCATAGCTCTTACCATAAGTTTCCCTTTCTCCCCAGACCCCATCCAATTTCAAGACATTTTAGATGGATGAATGACTGGTTGGGGCCCTAGTGGCACAGTGGTTAAGAGCTAGGGCTGCTAACCAAAAGGCTGGCAGTTTGAATCCACTAGCCACTCCTCGGAAATCCTATGGGGCAGTTCTACCCTGTCCTATAGGGTCACTGTGAGTAAGACACAGTGGCAGCAAGTTTGGGTTTTTTTGTTTGGATGACTAGTTGATAATAACGGGGGGGGAGCGGGGAGCGCTAAACATCAGATTTATAAATCCCTAGCTCCAGGTAAGTAATACATGCTTTAAAAAAAAAAAAAAGACCAGTTATTTTTAAACGCATAGCTCAGCAGAGAAAGCATTGAAATAAAAAACAGATTTTTAAGGCTACTGGGTTAATCCTATCCAGCGGTAAAGAGAGGCCAACAGACAAAGGAAATGGAATGGGTCATGTGAATAAAGTTGGTTTGGGATTCCACATTCCTCCTTCTTTTTTCTCCTCCCTTCACTCCCTCCCTCCCTGTCAGGAATCAAAATTCCCTCCCCAAAGGCTAAATTGCAAGCATCAGGGCCCTAGCTGTAGTGAGGACTTCCCAGTTCTGGCAGCGTGGACAGGGAAAAGAACCCTGAGCAGGCTGTTCCAACAGCCCTTTGCCACCCCTCCCCGTACAATGATAAGCTTTAAATTCTTTGGACCCAAACTTTCCTTGAGGACAAAACCAGACTGTGTCCCTGTGCCCACTAGGGGGCAGCAGCCACCCACCATGCAGTGTTCTGGCTCCTTGGGGAGGACCACAGTGTAGCTGACCCTTCCTACCCTCCTCACGGTTCAGGCCTGCCTCTCCATCTCAGTCTCCCAGCCTCAACCTCGGCTCCACCCCTTCCCATCCGTTCATCTCCAGGAGGGCACGTGGTTCTTCAATCAGGAATATTTGCTCATCCATCTACCCAGGACACACGCAGTGTTCTTTATTAAATAGCAGGAGCCAGTGTGCCCTGCCCACACCAGCAACGTGGCTTCCAGGGGAAATAAACTGCCGGCCGCCCCTCATCCATCACTGTGCAGGAGCTGGGGAAGAAAGAAAAGCCAGGGCTGTTCTCAGCCAGCCTCTCCCAGGCCCCATCCCTTTGCAAGCCAAGATTTCTCAGAACATCACATACTTCTCGTCCTTAGCGCTTCTCACAGCCATAATTAATTACTTGTGCTATTGTGATTAATTATTTACGTGATCAGTTGTTTCGACTTCATAAATTCAGGGCTAGTGTCAGCCTCTCTGTCCCCAGCACCTAGCACATTGTAAGCACTCAAATATTTTTTAAGAAATTGAATGAAGGAATGTGAGTCTGTGTCTCAGTCCCCTCACAGTACTAAGAATTGGAACAGACGGGCGTGTGCATTAGAATCTACCCGGACACCTTCTGGGAAACCTGCTTTGGGTATGGGATGAGGCATGAGACAAAAGGGAAGGATTGTTTAACCAAAGTCTTGGCCTCTTCGTGAAGTCAAAGGGTTGAGGTAATTCTTGTTGAGGGAAATGGGAGCTCAATGCGAAAGAAGTGTTGGGGCTGGTGAACACGGAGTTATAATCCCCCTCCCCAACACGTACCCCTAACCAGCCCCATTCAGAGCTTTCAGACAGAAAAAGTGTGTGTGTGAGAGAGAGAGACAGACAGGTAGAGAAAGAGAAAGACTGGCTCAGAGGGGGGTGGGGCTTGAACTGCTTTGTCAAGAGGTGTGTGAGTGAGCCCAAGGACCCTTTTGGGGAGTGTATGAGAGACAGCAGCTGGCAAGGATCAGGATGAGGACAACATGGCAGAGAGGAGTTGAGTGTGAGGAGAGGTGGATGAGAGGCAGATGGAAGGAAGGATAAGCGGGGAAGAAAAGGAGCGATTTCTCAGAGCAGCAAGCACTCCTTCCATGACACAAAGCAGCGCCAAGGCAGCCAGCCACGGCCACTATACCAGTGAGAAATGCCCGTAATTAGGAGGCTGGCAGTTCGCTGGGCCTCAGCCCAGAGTGAGGATGTAGCAAGAATTTCTGAGGCAAGCCAAGCCAGGTGATGAAGGAGACTCCAGCTCCATCCCTCAGCCGTGCCTGTGCCTGCAGCGCCCTCTTCTCATTTCTCTTCCCCAATATGACCGTCGCTCTCCCCCAAACGTGACTGACTCTCCTCCCCATTCCCCAGGCCCTGGACACTCCTCTCAACAGAGACAGAGCTTCTTCCACAAAGAAGAGCAGAGCCTTCATTCTTCCACCGGTGCCTGGATGAGCTCTGGCCCAGGCACCACCCCCTCCTGGACTCCCAGCCTGCTTCCCTAGGCTCCCCAGCCCCCTTCCCAAAGCCTGACAAGCTGATGGGCGGAGTTAGAAGAAAATCCACTCCGGCTCCTGTCTTTTCATGTCAGGCCTAGTGTGTGTGCCCTGCAGGGCTCCCTGTGATGTGCAGAAGACCTGCAAAAGCACTGCCAGGCTTTCCTTTTCAACCCTCACCCACACCCTGCTTTTGTGCCACACCGAACTTACTGCGTTTCAGTCAAGGGACAAATGCACCCTCCAGAGCCCGGAGCCAAATGCTCCAGGCAGCAGAGGGGTTACAGAGCACCTGGTGGCTGATGTGTTCATGGGTCTCTGCACTGCAAGTTCTGCTTTGGGGCTGGGGGCTGGGGAAGATAGGCTTTCTCCAGGGAAGACCTGCGCCTATGGGAGACAATGCTGCGGGGGAGGAAGGGGTGAACCCAACCTTGAAGTGACCCTGTTGGTGGTGAAGAAGGCAGTTTTCTCTTTATGAATCCCAGACTGTGGGAAGCTGGCAGCGGGGTTGCTGGGGATCCCAGCTCAACATCTTGATTAAGGACTAACTAGTCCCTAGTTAGGAAGGAGTGGTGCAAACAGTTAAAGCACTTGGCTGCTAACCAAAAGCTTGAAGGTTTGAAAGTTTGGAGGTTTCAATCCACCCAGAGGCACCTCAGAATAAAAGCCTGGAGATCTACTTCCAAAAACCAGCCATTGAAACCCTGTGGAGTACGGTTCTACTCTGACACACATGGGGTTGTCATCCATCCGAGTCAACTCCACAGCAACTGGTTAGGCCCTAGCCAGCTGTCCACCAGGAACTGAAGCCAGGATCTCATGAACTCAGACATTTCCACCATGGACTGCAGTTTCTACCTCGCCTCTCAGTGGCTGTGTTTCATCTCTATGAAAAGCCACTTCCCAGGGAGTCAGAAGGGTCTTTCAAGGGCTGCTCCCAGGACTCTCACTAATCACAGCCACAGGACAAGACTCCTTTGTCCCGTCAGGAGCCAAGGTTGCTGAGGTGGACCCACCTACCCAAAAGCAGCTTCTCTTCCACCTCTGGCACTGTCACCTCATCTAAGCCTTTCCAAGAAAGTCAGACCTTTCTCCTCTGAAAATATTTTATTGATAAATTAACTCTGAAAGCTCTCCCCTCCCACCCAACTGCTGTAATGTCTTCTAGGTGGGCTATGAGACCCTCTGTGGGGAGGGGTCACTTGGAGGACAGGGAGTCGCACTTACACAGGTGGAGGTGGGCGTGGGGACTGAGGCAGGTCGGAAGGTCTTCTGAAGACAGCCCCTCTCTCTCAGCACCAGAGCGGGCAGTAGTGGTCAGGAGTGGAGCACCTTGGAGCTTTATTGCTGGTGAATGCCAAGGACAGTGGGACCCCTGTCAGCCCGGAATTGCAGCTTCGGGCATCCGTGCCCAGGGCTCCAGGGAAGGTGGCACTAATCCCCAATCACTAGAGCCTGGCTGCTGATCCCCCGCCCCTCCACCTCCCACCCAGGGGCCCCTGGATGAGGAAGGAGGCGGGGAAAGTATCTGAGTCAGGCGGGATCGGAGAGGGGTTACAGTGTGCAGGTCTAGAGTGGGGCAGCGCCAGAAGGGGGCGCATGGCCGAGCAGCGAGGGGCCGCGCCTTCACAGGTCTATGGTGTCGCTGCCGACGCTCAGCTCATCAATCTGTCGGCAGGCGTCCAGGAATTGCTCCTGCAGCAAGGCCTCCTCAGCCTGCAGCTCAGGGACAAGCTCCGGGGAGTCGCGGGAGGGAGGGGTCAGGGCCTGGTAGGACCCTGAGGCTGGGAGACTAGGGCTGCTTGCCGAGGGTCGCGGGGGGCTGAGGATGCAGACCAGCGGACAGCGCGGGGGCCTATCCGGGCTGGAGCAGAGCAGCATGGACGAGCTGTCCCGCGATAGTCCGTACAGGGAGCCGGAGGAGGCACTGCTGCCGGCGGGCCAGGCCCCAGGGGAGGGCGGCTCTGGGGACGCGGGGGATCCAGGAGCCTCCTCGGGCCTCCCGCTGGGCGCGGTCGCCGTCTTGGCACCGAGCGAGACGGTGCGGTAGAGGCCGAGACCAGGCAGGGCTTCCCCTAAGGCAGGGCCCTGGAAGAGGCCTGGCGCCAGCAGGGCCTCGCTGCAGAGCGCCTCCTCGATGCTACGCCGCAGATTGATCGGGGAGGGCGGCTGGAAGTCCACGGTGCAGTCGCTGCAGGGGGAGGAGGCGGGCGAAGGGGCAGGGTGGGCCGCCGCGCCCTGGAAGCCTCGGCAGCCGCCTCCCTGGAGGAGGAGGTCGGGGCCCGGGCTAGCCAGAGCGCAGAGCTGCAGCAGCTCCGCCTCGCCGCGCACGATGGCGCTGCCCGGGGGCTCCTTGTCCGGGAGCCCGGTGCTCCAGCTACCGGGCAGCAGCGGAGCCGCGTGACCTGGGGACAGGCGGAAGAGCTTGGCCCAGCAGCGAGGAGGCACGCGGGGGCTGCAAAGCGCGGGGTAGAGGCCCAGTAACGCCAAGGGTAGCGCAACGCCCACCTCGCCCAGACGCAAGCCCAGCTGGAAGGCCCACCAGGGCCAGGGCCCTTCTAGGCCTGGCTGGCCGCCGTAGCCCAGGGCGTGCAGCACCTCATAGCCCTGCAGGGCTCCACTCAGCAGCCCGAAGGTGCCCGCCACCGGCGCCGTGCGCGCCGCGCGCCGCCACGATTCCCGCGGGGCGAAAGGACTACGCGCCTGCCGGAGCGGGGTGGCGCCCTTGAAGCCAGATCCCCCGAGGGGCGCCCCAGCCCGCCGCCGCCGGCCCCGCCAGCAGGAAAGCGCCAGCAGGCGGAGCCTGTGCCCAGGATTCCCTCTTGCGG